GTTTGAGTTTTGCACTGAACCAAGGTTTGTCGTTGTTAAATGTTAAATAAGTCCTGGTGGGAACACGCATGTCCTCACAGAAACTGATGTAGGATGTCATGGTGTCAGTGAGCTCATCCAGATCAGTAGCTGCAGTCTCAAAAACACTCCAATCAGTAAGTTCGAAGCAGGCCTGTAAATCCTGCTCTGCTTCAGCAGTCCATCTCTTTACAGTTTGTACTACAGGCTTAGCAGATTTGAGTTTCTGCCTGTAGGCTGGTAGAAGATGAACCAAACAGTGATCAGATAGTCCTAGAGCTGCTCAGGGGACAGAGTGGTATGCATCCTTTAAAACAGTGTAGCAGTGGTCCAGTATATTGCTGTCTCTGGTGGGGCATGTGATGTTCTGTCTATATTTAGGCAGTTCACGGGTGAGATTAGCTTTATTAAAATCACCGAGAATGATAATGAAAGAGTCCAGATAACGTTGTTCTGTGTGTGTGATCTGATCGGCCAACAGTTGTAGCGCGGCGCTTACACGCACATCAGGAGGAATGTACGCACTCACCAGAATAAATGAGGAAAACTCCTGCGGTGAATAAAAAGGCTTACTTTTAATGAAGAGAGCTTCCAAATTTGGGCAACACATCATCTTTAAAACTGTCACGTCTGTACACCAGCCTTCATTGATATAAAAACATAATCAACCACCTCTCGTTTTCCCCAACGACTCAGTGACGCGGTCCGCTCTGAACAGCTGGAAGCCCGTTAGATGTAACGCGCTGTCCGGGATGGCTCCGTTCAGCCAGGTTTCAGTGAAGCAGAGCGCAGCGAAGTTTAAAAAGTCCTTGTTTGTGCGGGTGAGGAGTTGTAGTTCGTCTGATTTATTTGCTAGGGAGTGGAGATTCGCCAGATGAATGAGTCCTAAAACCACACTGTCGGAATTTCACGAGCGTGCTGGCGCGTTTCCCTCGCTTGCGTCGCCTGGAGTGCTTGTATTAGGGATGTAACGGTATGAAAATTTCATATCACGATTATAGTGACCAAAGTTATCACGGTTATCAATACTATCACGGTTTTGTTAAAATTAAGATGAAAATGTTCAAAAAGAACTGATACACACACTGAAAACATTTCAATACGTTTTATATTTGAAAATCAACAAACAACAAATACAATTAGTAGCTATATTCACTTTTTTTTAGAATAAACATTAAATTAACTTTAACATGAAGCCCTAATAATAATAATAATAAATCACTTATGTGTATATATATATATATTTCAGACAGGACCACTTTGGCAAGTTACTTGAGTTTATTGAACACAATTTATCTTTGGCGGTATGGTTCCAATGGGGGTTATTTGCTCCAGAATAAATTGAACATACAAGAGCTTTAACATTAACCCCCCGGAGCATCAGCTTGGAAATACATACAATTAAGACACTTAGTAATGTCTTTAAAAGCGAACGGTGGTAATCGTGTATATGTGCAGTGGAACTTCTATACTGTAGCTTGGTTATGAGGATGAGAGTCTCTCAGCAGTGAGGTCCATGGCAGCCGGGACTTGGAAGCCTTAGTGATCTGAAACAAAAGAAGACAACAACCAGAAGGTGCACAGTAATATGCTTATGCTTAAAATGGGGAGGGAGGGTTGCGAGCAGTTTGAGCATACTTACCAAGCAGTAATGCCACGTATATATGTCCCGTGTATAATAAGAGAATAGTAGTGATTGGAGCGATTTGACAGCTGACCACATCAGCTGGTCGCAGCCTATGCCTACGTGGCCTGACTGAACTAA